ACAGAACACCGGCACTAAAATTTTAAACAAGAGGCTGCCCGAGGTCCCGCACTTGCTGGGGACCTCGGCAGCCTTCCTGTTAACCACGCGGTGCCATGGGGGTTGGGGGCCCCTTCATGGTTTCTTACACCGGGGCCCTGAAGTTTCCAGTTACGCCACTGCCTACTAACTTTATTTGACTGAGCTCAGTCATTTGCACAATTAAGTCTTTCAGAGAAATGTTTTAAGGTTGGGGCAGTAGGTAAGATGAAAGTCGATTACTCAATGAGTTCTATGGGTTACTGCAAATACAATATTGCATTGTCCTATTAAATAAGCCTGACGGTCTAAAATGCTTTTTTGTGAATCTTCTCGACTGGTGTACTGCTGAGATGCAATGGGTTGCTGCATATCATTGGTATGTAATGAAATAAAGTATGATACCGTATACATTTGGATGTATCAATGAGACAGTGTAGAAAGCCGCTGATCCAAGTGTAGAAATGCAACCAGTGTTGAAATGCAAATGAACCAAGCACCCAGCCAACAAATCTCCTCTTGGCTGATGTGACCTGGCTGACTGCTAAAGGTTGCTGCACTTTGTGCATTACCACTGCATGCTATTGTGGTCAAGTCTTTGCCAATCAAGTAGGTTCTGCCTACATCCTCCTAGGCTAAAAACACAGCTTAGTGTTACATTTACCCACAGAAGAACGCCATGATTTCCCACATTAACCCTTGCAGTGGGGCTACCCCCCTCACCCTCCTGTCTGGCTGCTAGACCAGTCCCCAAAGCCTCTTCCCCCCAGGCTCAAGTGGTCTAAGGACCCATGATGTCATCGCATCTAATGCAGATCCATTGGAGGTTAGGATGCCAAGGGGCATACAACAACCCGGGTGTAAAGGGAGAGATGTAGTGGTCACCGCTACAGGACTGAGCATCAGGTAAGTATATGTTCTTTATTTTCATCTCTAGAACAAAACAAGCACTTTACCCTTGCAGTTCAGGGGTACCCCAACTGCAAGGGTTAATTTTAAAGAAACAAAACAAAAAAACTGGAGTTGTTCATTAAAGCATAGGGGCTGTTTGCCCAGGAAAGTGAATATTCACTTTAGAAATTGTAAGCTCAGTTTTCAAAGTGAAAGTTATTTATAAAAGGCGAAGTTGTGTTTACTTTAAACACACAGTCAAGTGCTAGCACAAGACTTGTTTTTCCAGGTACGTGATTGAAAAATGACAGGAAACACAGTGTTATCTAATCACTAACATTCACTTTGCAAATTGAAATGATACATTTTCTCTCTATGCCAAATGTGTATCCAGAACTGGTGATAACGCCCAATCTGCATATAAATGTCTCAGACTTGTTGGCCAACATCCATGCGGTGCCTTGAAACCATGACTTCTATTAGCAGGTTTTAGGGAACGCAGAGTCAGTATAACCAGACAGATAACAGTAAGGTATACAAAAAAATACAAAAAAGCCTTCCATTAAAAAATACAGTAGAACATTCTTAAAACAGAAGCTAATGCCATGTCTAATTTTGATGAATCAAAAAATAAGGAGTTTATTACAAACCTGTCTAGATACTGTGTTTTCCCGAAAATAAGACACTGTCTTATATATTTTTTTGGCTCAAAAAAACACACTAGGTCTTATTTTTGGGGTAGGTCTTATTTTTTGTTAATGTACCCGCACTTATTCATGTACAAAAATATGGTGATCAGGGCAATCAGGGGTGCCGTACCTTTCCAAGAGCAATTTGGTAACCAATCGTTGGCCAGAATGAGTGAAGCGCACTTTCATTATCGATTCCTCACAGGCGGAGTGCATTTGGTATCACTCCACCTGTGAAAGGAGCCGGCGCTATAGAGGAGGCATCGGCTTATGCGGCTGTGCTCCCTCCGGTGCCGCCTCGCTTCCTGTAGCACTGGCTTCGTTGGCACTGCTGATTCTCTCCCGCGGCTCTTCAAGTTCCCCCTTATGCCACCACCGGCCCTGGGAATGGTCACAACTAGGTCTTATTTTCGGGGTAGGTCTTATATTTTAGCAATTCCCAAAAATAGTACTAGGTCTTATTTTCGGGGTAGGTCTTATTTTCGGGGAAACAGGGTATATTGTGCATAGTCACATGTCCTAGTCACATGTGCCAGGGTTCCAGGAAGTAAAGGGAGGTGGATTCATCTGCCCTTTGTAAAAATGGCCACTGTCAGAAAAATGGAGAGAAATAGGTATGCAAAGAATACAAAGTTTGACATTATCTATAAGTATCTGTTTGTAGGTTGTCATTACTAAACATTTCTAAAGGTGCCTTTGTTGTTATATTGAAGCTAAGGGTAAAGGTCCTATTTAAGCTCTTAACCTCCACTAGAGCTGAAGGGACAGGGGCAGAAGGGAATGTTTAAAATCCCAGTCAGGAGTGATAAGAGATCTCGCCAAAGTGAGGGGCGGCCAGTGTCCCAGGTTGCTAAGAGTTTTTAGCAACCTGTGACGCTGTGTCTGGCTTCCCGCCCAGCTCACTGACATCATCGGTTTCCAGGGAGTGGAGCAGGACGCTCTGGCTGGCATCCCCCCGAGCGCCTGGCAATTGATGTCAGTGAGCAGGGTGGGACCGGACAGAAAGCCACTCACAGTATGGCTCTACACAGCCGTTT